GTTCTTTAAAAGAAGATTGTATAAGTTTTTACTATATGCATATAGGGAAATTCAATGACCCCCTGGGACGGGGCCAATTTTGACCCCAGGGCTTTTATTTGAACAAACTTGATAGACACTCATTAGAAGATGTTTCATGCTAAATATCTTAGCTCTAGCTCTTTGGGTTTCTTTAAAAGAAGATTGTATAAGTTTTTACTATATGCATATAGGGAAAATCAATGACCCCCTGGGGCGGGGCCAATTTTGACCCCAGGTCTTTTATTTGAATAAACTTCATAGACACTCATTAGAAGATGTTTCATGCTAAATATCTTAGCTCTAGCTCTTTGGGTTCTTTAAAAGAAGATTTTTAAAGTTTTTACTATATGCATATAGGGAAAAACAATGAGCCATGGGGCGGGACCAATTTTGACCCAAGGGCTTTTATTTGAACAACCTTGATAGACACTCACTAGAAGATGTTTCATGCCAAATATCTAAGCTCTACCTCTTTGGGTTTTTTAAAAGAAGATATTTTAAGTTTTTTCTATCGGTTGCCATGGCAACCAGAGTTCTGCATGGAATTAAATTCTTGGAACACTTTTTAAAGGTGACCACCAAAGGAACATTCCTGTGAAGTTTGGATGAAATTGGCTCAGCGGTTTATGAGGAGATGTCATTTAAATAAAAAGTTTACAGACGACGGACGACGGACGGACGACAGCGCCGGACGAAAAGCGATCACAAAAGCTCAACCTGTCACTTTGTGACAGGTGAGCTAAAAACATTCCAATGAGGTGTAATACCTACCAGGGTCTTCATATTAGCTTTCTGTATATCAAATTTGATTATAATATCTCTCTTCTCTATTTTTTTTTTTTTTGGTAAGAGTGACCCTTGACCCCAGGGGGTCCTAATGCAAGACCAACAAGGGTTTCCACATAAGGTTGTAAAATAACAAGTTTGATTACAATTACTTATTCTTAACTAATGTTATCATCCAGAAACCATTACACTATTTTCAGTAACAGTGACCATAACCCAAAGGGGTCCAAAAGCAAGACCGCGCAGGGTCTTCACATAAGCTTGCAATATACAAAGTTTGATTAAAATATCTCATTCCAAACACTAGTTTTTATCTGGAAACATTTTTTTTTTTTTTTTAGTAATGGTGACTTTGACCCCTGGGGGTCCAAAAGCAATCCAACCGGGGTCTTGTATAAACTGGCTACATATCAAGTTTTATTACAATATCTCATTCCTAACTCTAGTTATTGTCCAGAAACAATTTTTCTACAGTGACCTTGATTCCATGGGGTACAAAAGTAATCCCAACTAGGGTCTTCACAAAATCTTGCTATATACCAAGTTTGATTCCAAACTCTAGTAAATGTCCAGAAACCTTTTTTTTTATTTTTAGTAACAGTGACCTTGACCCCAGGGGGTTACAATACCAATACCAACCAGGGTTTCCACATAAGATTGCTATTTACTAAGTTTTATTACAATACCTCATTCCAAACTATAGTTATTACTGCAAACCATAAAGGAGACCGGCCCATCAACCGACTGACTGACAATTAAGTTCACTCCTTTATCCCACTAAACTTCGTTTGTTGGGGTATAATAAAAAAATACAAGCAAACTCTAGAGGCACAACTCTAAAAATATTTCTGTAAAGTTACATGACTCTAGATCAAATACCTTTGAAGTTACTCATGACACAAGTTGAAAATTGCAAAAACTTTTACTAAGTCAAGGGCAATAACACTACAAATAAAAAACAAATACACAAGCAAACTTCAAGGTGCACACTTTCACATGCTGACCAACATTTTTGAAGAAAAGTTTTATGACTCTAGGTCAAACATCTTTTATGTTACTAATGACACAAGTATTGCAAAAAAATTTACTAAGTCAAGGGAAATAACATTACAAACACTAAGTACACAAGCAAACCCTAAGGGGCACATTTTCACATGCTGACCAACAATTCTGCAAAGTTTTATGACTCAGATATTTTTTGGGCTAAGCGCGACACTAGCTGTAAATTGCAAATTTTTACTAGGTCAAGGACAATAACTCAACAAATACGGAATAAATCAACAAGCAAACACCCAGGTGCACAACTACACATGCTGACTAACATTCCTGTGAAGTTTTGTTACTCCAGATCAAGAGCTACATGCAACACAAATTGAAATTGAAAAGTTTTACTTAGTTAAAAAGAGCAATAATAACAAGAGGGCCAAGATGGCCCAAGATCGCTCACCTGACCCATTAAACTCATCCAAGCAATTACCAAGACAAGCATCCTGATCAAGTTTCATAACAATTGAGTCAAAAATGTGACCAGTAGAGTGTTAACAAGATTTCTATATATTTGGGTAGTGTGACCTAGTTTTTTACGCCTGAGGTGACCCATATTCAAACTTCAACTAGAGAGTTAACAAGATTTTTGTATTTTTGTATTTTCTGATCGCAGATCACGAAATACAATGCTGACATTCAACATCTGGAACAGCTCTTCCCGACAAACCTAAAAACACAAAGCAGTTCTCAAAACAGCTTAAAACTAGCGATGTATAACAAAGAAATATTTTTATTTTGTTACAAGTATCTGACGAATTATAAGGCATTCTATGTTTAAAAGTAGCTTTGACTTATAGAATTGTCAATAAAGTCACAATCACAAATTATGCTAATGAATGCTCAGCAATTTTCTTTAAAGCTTCAGATTATTGTGATCGGAATTTAACCCTGCCTAAATTTAGACTTTCTGAAAAATAAAGTAAGGATGTTGACTCTAGGATAGGGACGAATATAGGGCAGTCGACGATCAATAATCAATTTCTACAATAAGTAATTAGTACAATAAGTTAAGCACCTGATAATTTCATCCATGTGAACAAAGCGCTATTTTTAGTGATGTCGATTGCCGACACACTTCAGCCTGTATTACACAAATAAATCTGACTGTCGAGTAGTGAAATATTATATATACATGTCGGACTGTTTGGGCAAGAAGAATTTTGTTAAATTATTTTAAACAGGTTTACCGTGAAAAAAATATTTCGAAATTAAAAATATTCTACATGAAAATCAAACTGGTTTCCTTGCGCTGATCATGCACTTATTTACACTATACTCTCTTACTGAAATACTTAAAAAGAAAAAAAAATGAAACTTTCCTGTGCTTTTGTACATTTCTTTCAAGCTTTTGATAAAGCACGGAGGGAGGGCATAGATTGCTCAAAAATTCTATAAATGGTTAATTTTTCATAGTTATTAATAATACAAGAACAACGAATCATTTATTTCACATAATTGAGTTACATATCAGCATCGTAATAGGGGTAAGACAGGGCAAAAATGTGTCTTCCATGTACTTAAATGACCTCCAAACTTATTTACAGATCAACTGTTAGATCACCCTTAAACTTCTTTTTCTTCTCTATGCAAATGACACTATCCTGTTATCGAACATCGTTGACGATCTCTAAATTTGCTTGAACAATTTTCATGATTACTTTAATAATTGGCATCTAAAGGTGTACCTAAACAAAACTAAAACAGTAATTTCTGGTGCTCGATAAACTGGGAATTTTAGATTTTATTTCGGACATGAAAATATTGATATATCCACTTTTTACCATTACCTATTTCATTTCATAGTTTAGAAAAAGATTTTTGTAATTTGGTTTCTTTTATTTAGTATTTTTTTCTTTTTTGATTTGGAAGTGAACTCTGTTAAATGATTATATTTTAATTTTTTGTACCAGAACTGTACATTCTCTTTTATATAACCATTTTGTTATGTTTCCAAATTGTATTGAAAATTGCTTTGGTGAAAATAAAATACATGTTTTGTTCTGTTCTGTTCTTTTCCAAGTGAAAATATTTTCGGCAAAATTGTTGCCTGTCATCGCCCTAAATGCAGTTGTTGCAAGTCGGTGCCCTGCAAGATGAATTATAGTATATTCTAACACGACCTGCATTTTTCCCTATATATCCAAATCGGTGATTTTATCGCTTGATAAATTCACTGTTAGTCATTCGGATGCACATCATTACATCACTCTGGCTACGCCCTCGTGATATAATTCTTCGCATCCAAACTCCAAACAGTGATTTTTTTGAGCGATAAAATCACAGTTTTGGATATATTATTTCTTAATCAAAATAACCTTATACAGGAAAATACTTACAGTTATACAGTACAATTTAGATTGCAAAGATCAGAAAATACCACAGAGCTTGCAGCTCTTTGATTAGCTCCTGTGACCTTGTTTTTCATCATGTTCAAACAAATCTGAGCAATTAACTAGACAAGCATTCTGAAAAAGTTTCATGACAATTGAGTCAAAAATGTGACCACTAGAGTGTTAAAAAGGTTTCCATATTTGGGCGAAGTGACCTAGTTTTTTACCCAAGGTGACCCATATTCAAACTTGACCGGGAAATCATCAAAACAAACTTTCACACCAATTTCCAGGATATTTGGATCAAAACAGTAGCCATTAGAGTGTTAACAAGGTTTTCTATTTTTAGCTTCTGTGACCTAGTTTTTCATCCAAAATGACCCATGTTCAAACTCATCCGAGCAATTACCTAGACAAGCATATTGACAAAGTTTGATGATGATTGAGGCAAAAATGTGACGACTAGAGGGTTAACGAACAAATGTGGACAGAAGACGGACATTCAACGATCCTGAAAGCTCACCCTGATTACTTACGTCTTTATATCTATAATCAAGTGTTGATTACTTACATCTTTATATCTATAATCCAGTGTTGAGTACTTACATCTTTATATCTATAATCAAGTGTTGATTACTTACATCTTTATATCTATAATCAAGTGTTGATTACTTACATCTTTATATCTATAATCAAGTGTTGATTACTTACATCTTTATATCTATAATCAAGTGTTGATTACTTACATCTTTATATCTATAATCAAGTGTTGATTACTTACATCTTTATATCTATAATCAAGTGTTGATTACTTACATCTTTATATCTATAATCAAGTGTTGTACATTTAATACTGTAAGTCTGCTGCCGGTATTTAGGTTTCCACATAGAAATTGCATCACCATGTAACTGTAACTGTATCTCTACCTGCTCTGTTAACCAACCACGATTTATAGAACGTATTCCATCTAATCAAATACAAAGAACAAAAAAGGTTAATTGTTTGGTTAGGTTTTACGTCACACCAACACTATGGCAAAGTTCCAGCTATACTGGTGGAGGAACACCTCAGGTTCATTATTTCAGGCACAAAAGGGCACCTGAGAAGAACCCCGACATTAGTAAGCTAGCTGAATAGCTTCCTCATTTTACTGTTTGGCTAGTTGTTAGTAACACTAACAAATAAAGATTATATTTATGGCAATTTTATTCTGTTAATTAGTTATAATACTCATGCCCATCAGAGCTTTTCAGTACGTGTTCGCAGATTTGAAAACCTGTAAGCGTGCAATAAATAACTGCCTTTATTTTGTAAATTTTCTAACATAATTTCACTCAGATAGTGAGAATAGTATGGCTGAAAAAAAAACCCAGAAAACATCAGTGATGGCGGAAAGACTAAACAAAAGTTGAGAAAAAGAAAAAGCGCTGGCTTAAATACATTTAACCATAATAAAATAAGATTTGTTACCTAAAGAGCCCACCAGATATATAGAAACACCTTTTTCCAGAGTGTTTTAAAAGCATTCAGCAGCCTCAGGCAACATTTGCTATGCAAATGAACAATATTGGGTCTTATAATAATTTCTTTCACGATTATAACTATGATTATAGCAAAAAATCAGCTAAATCCTTTTAACGGGACCAAAACCATGTGTTAACATAGTCACGCACTCTTGTTATAGCCCGGTTTTACCTATGCGCATACATTATATAGAGCACGGTACACACACAAAAAAGGATTCACACACAAACAAGAAATTGTAACAGGGTTACCAATGTCCCCCGCCTCAGGGAAGTTTTATATGAAGCATAAAATTGTGCTATTTCGAAAGATTGAGGTATGGATCTCAGGACTTTCAGTCCAAAATTATGATCAATGCTAGATCAGCAAATGCAACAATAAATTTATTAAAGAAATAAAATGAAACACGGAATTTAACACTCTATCATGTTAAGCTTTGACCTCTAAGTGTGTTTGTGTGTGACCTTGGAGGTAGGGACCCATGTTTTGCGCCTGACATATTGTCTTATTTTTGTGATTATTTATGCCAAGTATTTTTAAAATCCCTTGATCTATGAAGAAGTTATGGACAGGACACAAAATATACCATATTTATAACAGACTCTGTTAACTTTTGACCTCTAAGTGTGACCTTGACCTTGGAGGTAGGGGTGAAGGTGTTGTACTTGACACATTGTCTTATTATGATGACTATTTGTGCCAAGTTCTTTCAAAATCCCTTGAACTGTGAAGAAGTTCTAGATCGGACACAAAATATACCCTATAACAGACTATGTTGATTTTTGACCTCTAAGTGTGACCTTGACCTTGGAGGTAGGGATGCAGGTGTTGCGCATGACACATCGTCTTTTATAGTGACTATTTGTGCCAAGTATTTTCAAAATCCTTTGATCTCTGAAAAAGTTATGGACCGGACACAAAATATACCCTATAACAGACTTTGCTAATCTTTGACCTCCAAGTGTAACCTTGACCTTGGAGGTAGGTGACTGGTTGTTGCACATGACACATCATCTTATTATTGTGAACAATTGTGGCAAGTATTTCCAAATCCCTTCAAAATTAAGAAAGTTATGGACAGGACACAACATATACCCTCAAATAGGCAATGTTGACCTTGAATGAGCAAGTGCGACCTTGACCAAATAATTTGTGCCAAGTTATTTCAAATTGATTTGATAAATGACAAAGTTATGGACCGGACAAGAAAGTGTGACGGACGGACAAAAAGACTCACTACTGAATAACGATAGGGGGCCATCTAACTGTAAACAGAACAAAAGAGATAAATAGAGTTCATTCTGTAACAATAGAGTAAGGGGCCATTGGCCATCTATTAAACAAAAGAAAATAACAAAAGAAATGGCCCCTTATTCCATTTCGGCCACACAGACAGACAGACTGTCGGACGGAGCCTATTTCTATATCCCCTTTTTTTCTTCGAAAAGGCAAAAGAAAAACAAGATTGCATTTGTGCAAAATGCTATGCCACCTCATTAATACAACACTAAATAGTAGTGTAGGAACCGATTCTTTTTTGTTTCTATACAATTGAAGATTGTCATAATGCATAGATCCCTGATTTATCTAATTCTTATTATCAGATTAGTGGTTAAATCTATTGTTATTCAAATAAAAGATCAGAGTAGGAATATATTAATGCAGTTGAGTCTAGTGAATTTGGTGGTGAAGGTCATATTTCACACAGCCTAAATTTCATGACTACATCAAAGGACAACACAGTAAGACACTTTGTCAAAATCTAGGTCAGCTGATATCAAAGTTCACATCTTAATCTATGCACATGGTTCAAATTTTATAGCTGTACATCAAAGGACAAGAAAGTAGGCCACATCATCAAAATCTAGGTCACCTGATATTAAAGTTCAATTTTACAACTAAAACTGTGCACATGGTCAAAATTTCATTGCTGTACATCAAAGGACAAGAAAGTAGGTCACTGTCCCCTTGGGCAAGGCAAAATTTTGACCCAAGGGTTTAATTCAAAACAATCTTGATACAGGTCCACCAAGCAACATTTCATGTCAAATATCTAAGCTGTAGCTTTCTCCAATTCAGAAAACATTTGTTTTAGTTTCTGTTTTTACTATGTGTACATAATGAGAAGCAATGCCCCCCCCCCCCCAATCGACAGGGCCAATTTTGACACCAGGGAAAAAATTTGAACAACTTTGGTAGAGAACCTATAGATGATATTATATAGCAAACATCAAAGCTCTTTGCCTTGTACCTTCAGGCAAGAGAATTTTTAATTTTTTACTATATGTACATAGTAAAAATCAATGACCCCCAGGGGTGGGGCCAATTTTGACACCAGGGCAATAATTTGAACAAACTTGGTAGAAATTCACTTCCCAAAGTCTCATGCCAAATATTTAACCCCTAGCCTTTGTCAATTCAGAGAAGATTTTTCTAGTTTTTACTTTATAAATATAAGGAAAACTCATAATCGCCCCTGGGGCAGGGCAATTTTAAGACTAGGGGTATAATTAAAACAACTTTAGTAGAGGACCCATGGATGATATTATATACTAAATATCAAAGCTCTTAGCCTTGTACCTTCAGAGAAGAAGATTTTTTAGTTCCTTTACTATATGTACATAGTGAAAATCAATGACCCGTGGGGGTGGGGCCAAATTTGACCCCAGGGCTTTAACTTGTACAATCTTGCTAGAGGTTCACTACACAATGTTTCATGTAAAATATCTAACCTCTAGCCTTTGTCAATTTAGAGAAGACGATTTTTAAAGTTTTTACTATATACATATAGGGAAAACCTATGACCCCCCCCCCACCGGGCGGGGCTTATTTTGACACTAAAGGCAAAATTTGAACAACTTTGGTAGAGTACCTATAGATGATATCACATACCAAATATCAAAGATCAAGCCTTGTATCTTCAGACAATAAGATTTTTTTATTTTTTACTATATGTACATATATATATATACATGTACATTGTGATCACTTTTCGTCTGGCGTCCATCCGTCCATCTGTCATCCGTCCGTAAACTTTTACTTTAAACGACATCTCCTCATAAACGGCTGAGCCAATTTGATCCAAACTTCACAGGAATGTTCCTATGGTAGTCAACTTTAAAAATTGTTCAAAGAATTTAATTTCAAGCAGAACTCTGGTTGCCATGGCAACCAAAGAAAAAACTTAAAATATCTACCTTTAGAAAACCCTAAGAGCTAGAGCTTATATATTTGGCATGAAACATCATGTAGTCAGTGTCTACCAAGTTTGTTCAAATAAATGCCCTGAGGTCAAAATTGGCCCCGCCCTGGGGAGTCATTGATTTTCCTTATTTGTATATAGTAAAAACTTTAAAAAGCCCAAATAGCTAGAGCTTAGATATTAAGCATGAAACATCTTTTCATGGATGTCTACCAAGTTTGTTCAAATAAATGCCCTGGGGTCAAAATTGGCCTCAGGGGGGTCATTGTTTTTCCTTTGATGTATATAGCAAAAACTTAAAAAATCTTTTAAAAACCCCTAAGAGCTAGAGCTAAGATATATGGCATGAAACACCTTCTAATGGGTGTTTACCAAGTTTGTTCAAATAAGGGCCCTGGGGTTAAAATTGGCCCCGCCCCGGGGATCATTGATTTTCCTTATATGTATAAAGTAAAAACTTAACTAGAACTATCACTAAATGTGATTAATACCCCCACAAGACTGCTTCGGAAATGAGGATGTTACTAGTAACAGAATATCTTGTAAAAGAATTGAAATATAGAGTTATGGTTGTGGGCAATTAAAGATAGTTGTGGTTCTTGTATATTGCATTTCCTTTCAATGTGGTTGGCCATTGTTGAAGTTTTATTGAATTACTCTGTAATAAGTCCAGAAAGACAAAGAAAAGGAACAAAGGGCAATAACTCTATAAATACTGTAGATGGAGTTATAGTTCTTGTGCACTGCACTTCCTCTTTTTGTGCTTGACCATTGTATGAAGTTGTTTTGAATTTCAACCAGTACGTTTTAAGTTATGCTCCAGACAAGGAAAAGTATCAAAGGGCAGTAACTCTGTATTTTGTCAAAATGGAGTTATGGCTCTTATGCACTGCACTTCCTTTTAATGTCCTTGACAACTGTATGAAGTTGTATTGAATTCCAAACAGTAGTTTTCAAGTTATGCTCTGGACAAGGAAAAGTTACAAAGGGCAATAACTCTGTATTTTGTCAAGATGGAGTTATGGTTCTTGTGCACTGCACTTCCTCTCAATGTGCTTGACCATTGTATGAAGTTATATTGAATTCCAACCATTAGTCTTCAAGTTATGCTCCGGACAAAAAAAAAGCAATGGAAAAGTAACAAAGGGCAGTAACTCTGTAATTAGGCAAGATGGAGTTATGGTTCTTGTGCACTGCACTTCCTCTCAATGTGCTTGACCATTGTATGAAGTTATATTGAATTCCAACAACTAGTCTTCAAGTTATACTCCGGACAAAAGAAAGCAATGGAAAAGTCACAAAGGGCAATAACTCTGTAATTACTTTAGATAGAGTTATGGTTCTTATGCACTGCACTTCCCCTTACTGTGTTTGACAATTGTATGAAGTTGTTTTGAATTCCAACCAGTAATTTTCAAGTTATGCCCCGGACAAGGAAAAGTAACAAAGGGCAATAACTCTGTAATTAGTCAAGATAGAGTTATGGTTCTTGTGCACTGCACTTCCTCTCAATGTGCTTGACCATTGTATGTAGTTATATTGAATTCCAACCATTAGTCTTCAAGTTATGGTCCGGACAAAAGAAAGCAATGGAAAAGAAACAAAGGGCAATAACTCTGTAATTACTTTAGATAGAGTTATGGTTCTTGTGCACTGCACTTCCCCTTATTGTGTTTGACAATTGTATGAAGTTGTTTTGAATTCCAACCAGTAGTGTTCAAGTTATGCCCCGGACAAGGAAAAGTAACAAAGGGCAATAACTCTGTAATTAGTCAAGATAGAGTTATGGTTCTTGTGCACTGCACTTCCTCTCAATGTGCTTGACCATTGTATGTAGTTATATTGAATTCCAACCATTAGTCTTCAAGTTATGGTCCGGACAAGGAAAATGCAACGGACGTCTGGACCGACCGACCGACCGACCGCCCGACCGACCAACCGACCACCGGGTGACTCCTATATACCCCCCCAAACTTCGTTTTTGGGGGTATAAAAATCTTCTTTTAAAAAGCCCAAATAGCTATAGCTTAGATATTAAGCATGAAACATCTTCTAGTAGGTGTCTACCAAGTTTGTTCAAATAAAAGTCCTGGGGAAAAATTGGCCCTGCCCCAGGGGATCATTGTTTTTTATTTTATGTATATAGTAAAAACATAAAAAATCTTCTTTTAAAAAACCTAAGATATTTAGCATTAAACATCTTCTTATGGGTGTCTACCATTTTTGTTCAAATAAGGGCCCTGGGGTTAAAATTGGCCCCGCCCCGGGGATCATTGATTTTCCTAATATGCATATAGTAAAAACTTTAAAAAAATCTTCTTTAAAAAATCCCTAAGAGATAAGTTTGATATTAAGTATGAACTATCTTCTAGTGAGTGACTACCAAATTTCTTTAAATAAAAGCCCTGGGGACAAAACTGGCCCCGCCAAGAGTGGGGGGGGGTCTTTGTTTTTCCCTATATGTGTAAAGTAAAAACTTAAAAAATCTTCTTACAGCTAGAGCTAAGATTTTTATCACGAAACATCTTCAAATGAGTGTCTACCAAGTTTGTTCAAATAAAAGCACCTAGGTTAAAATTGGCCCCACCCCGGGGACCTATATACAGGTGAGCGATTTCAGGGCCATCATGGCCCTCTTGTTTGAGTAATTGCCATTTGTTAAATTTCATACTTTATTTTTGTACTGGCCATTTCTCCTTTAAGTATAAAAGCTATGGACTTGAAACTTCATTGGATGATAGATCTCATTAAGAAGAAGTGCAGTGCACAAAAATCGGTACTCTGTACTTCATAATTTTTTAGTTATTGCCCTTTGTTATTTATAATACTTTATTTTTGTCCCAGCCATTTCACCTAAACTATAGAAGCTATGGGCTTGAAACTTAGAAGAGCAGTACATAAGAACCGGTACTCTGAACTTCATGATTTTAGAGTTATTGCCCTTTGTTAATTATATTATACTTTATTTTTGTTTGAGTCAATTCTCCTACACAATAAAAGCTATTCAAGCTACGTCAATCCTGATGTAACTTTGTTACAATCAGTTCAAATGCCACTAAAGTTCAAGGTACATGTACATTTTAAGAGTGGTGTTTTGAAATAACCTATATTTAAAAAGAATATGCCTAAGTGACAGCTATACTCTTCACATGGACACTTCAGACTTGCGGAGTTCTAGTTGTGTATAGAGGTCACTTTTGTCGTCGGTGTCAGCGTCCTCAAAATTGGTGGCGTCACCTTGGGCTTGTCTGGAGCATAACTCAGTCACTATTGTTGGATTAACCTCAAATACGGTTTGCATGCTTCTTTCAATGACCCGAAGTGCAGTGCAAAATAATTGTTTCTCGGCAAATTCTTACTTTTTGAGTTGTTGCCCTATAGATTTTGGGGTCACTAGGCAAAAGGTCAAGGTCACAGGGGCCTTGAATGGTAAAATGATTTAATATGCTCATTATCTTGAAAGCTATTTATCATAAAGTCTTTATATTTCACATACTGATTGTTCATAACTAGTAAATGACCCCTATTGATTTTGCAAAGCATGACCCTCAGAAATTCCGAAAATGATTTCAGATTGACCGTAGATAACAGATCAGGGACATTTAGACTTGACATCATAACTGTTTTTCTTACAAGCACACAAGTTTTAAAAAAACAAACTTTGTGACAGGTGAGCTAAAAATAAGAAGTGCAGAGTAAGACACCGACGCCGACAACAACACCGACGCCCACCAACAAAAGTAACCCCTATATGTCGCCTTTTTCAAGGCAACACAAAAATGAGCTGATACTTGGCTGGCATCTTATAATAAGTTATTAAATTCTTACCAAAATTTCCAAAAACATCAGGCTCTTGATTTTTGGATTCACCTACATTTGCCATTGCATCTGAAAATAGAAAATGATTTTAGTTCATTATAACACTGTTACACTTTGAAGTTGCTGGTTGAGTGAGACTCCAAGGCCACTACTGCGGGTACTTTTAAGCACAAAGACCAAGATAAAACAAGCCACACATGCCTAGCAGTGGCCACACTCGACTTTTTCTTATTTCTTAAGTCAAACGCATCAGAGAAAGAAAATTATAACAAGAGCGATCAGTAATCACATGTGTCGCCTCATAATGGCCAATTTCATGTTGGGACAAGTTTTGTGACAGACAGACAGACAGACGGACAGTGCACAACTAGACTTGGTACTGATCATTATTGAAAAGTTTGAATAAAATTGCACCAGTAGTTTTTGAGGAGTAGTCTGGACAAGCTTTTGTGTATCTGGCAACACACAGAAAAAAACACCTTTTTATCAAAGGGCCATAACTCAGCCAAAATCATTCAACCGAAAAAAAAACGTGCAATATGCACAAGGACTTGAGCTACAGATCAATCCTGTAAAGTTTCATTGAAATTGCATCAGTGGTATAAGAGAAGTAGTCCGGACAAACTTTTAAAATAAAAATTATTAAAGGGCCATAACTCTGACAAAAATCATTGAACCGGAAAATGCTAAAAATATGCACAACTAGACTTGGTACTGATCATTCCTGTGAAGTTTGGATGACATTGCACCAGTAGTTTATGAGAAGTAGTCCGGACAAGCTTTTGTGTATCTGGCAACACACAGAAAAAAAACACCTTTTTAACAAAGGGCCATAACTCGGCCAAAAATCATTCAACCGGAAAACCCGTGCAATATGCGCAAGGACTTGAGCTACAGATCAAACCTGTAAAGTTTCATTGAAATTGCATTAGTGGTATAAGAGAAGTAGTCCGGACAAACTTTAAAAATAAAAATTATTAAAGGGCCATAACTCTGACAAAAATCATTGAACCGGAAAATGCTGACAATATGCACAACTAGACTTGGTACTGATCATTCTTGTAAAGTTTGGATGAAATTGCACCAGTAGTTTATGAGGAGTAGTCCGGACAAGTTTTGTGACGGATGGACGGACGGACGGACAGACAGACAGACAGACGGACAGACAGACGACGGAGAAGTGATCCCTATATGTCGCCACTACTCCGTAGAGGCGACACAACAATAAAGACTACTCCTACAAGATATTATTCTTTTGTGACAAATAAAAAAAAATCAAATTTCATATTTGACTTTTGATAGTTAAAATCATTCAAAGGTCAAGGTCACATTTTAATTAATCATCTTGTCAGTTTTGTCATAAGGTCAAAGAATGAATAAAATTCATCAATAATTAACAAAGTTATGACAATTTAAGCAAACTTCAATAATTTAATCTAGACGGCTAAGGTCAATAAAAGATAAAAGTCACATCTAAGTTCTATAAATAATATTATTATAAGTATAATAAAATTCTAAATTCAAGGATGATAATTTTGATAATATAGATGCTAGAATTAGGAACCTTGGCACATATAAGAAACATATATTTGAAGTAGATACATTAAGAAATAAAGAAGTTATACAAAAACAAGGGGTCACTTTTGAGACCATACTTCATTTTTTAATTGTACTATAAACATGGTACTTATTACATAGCTGTACATCAAAAACAAGATAGTAGATCATTTGATATCAAGTTTCAGTTCTACACCTGATATTGTGCAGATGGTCAAAACCTGATTTAAAAAAGACTGGCCATGATGGCCCTGCGTCGCTCACCAGAAATAACTGTTTTTCAGTGTTAGAAATATTTCTTAAGGTTCCTTTACTGACTTACAATTGACCCTGCAGAAAGATTAATATGATGTCCAAAATCTAGAGCAGACAGGTTATTTACCCCATGAGAATATGATTTAATTTTTTTGTTATAAGATATTGTGGTGTTATGCTTCATACCAAATATCTTAGGTTTAGACATTATTTTTATGACAGAAGATTTGTATAGTTATAACTTTATAAATCCTTGTGAACACGGGGCCAGGACTATAATTTCAACACTTTTTTAGAGTTTCATGAGACGATGCTACACACAAAATATATAAGCTCTAGGCCTTGCACTTTCAGAAAAGATTTCTAAAAAATCATTTCAAAAATCTATTTTTAGACCTCCAGACCCAAATATTCAATTGAGCAGAACCATTTGAACAATTTTTCTTGCATATCAGACTGGCGTTTCCGTTAGTTTTACCCATTTCATCTGGCATGAGGGGTGCCAGATAAGTCGTGTGCTATACAATCGCACAAGTGCTATAGGTCAATTTTTTTTTGGCTACATGTGCCCAAGTTGAAAACTAAAAATCTTTATTAAGTAAAGGGCAAATACTACAAATACTGAATAAATCCACAAGAAAACCCCAAGATGCATAAGTACACATGCTGACCAACATTCTTGTAAACTTTCAGGCCTACAGGTCAAATACTTTTTTTAGTTACGTGCAACAATAGTTGAATATTGTAAATTTTTACTAAGTCGAGGGCAATAAGTCTAATAATAAAAATATCCACACAAAAATACCCAGGTGCACAACTACACATGCTGATCAACATTCCTGTAAGGTTTAATGACTTTAGGTCAAATACTTTTTGAGTTACGTGCGACACAAGTTGAAAATTGCAAATTTTTTACTAAGTCAAGGGCAATAACTCTAAAAATACTAAATATATCCTCATGAAAATACCCAGGTGCACAACTTCACATGCTGATGAACATTCCTGTAAGGTTTCATGACTGTAGGTCAATTACTTTTTGAGCTACATGCAACACAAAAAGAGAACGAACGGACGGATGGACGTACTCACAAAATGGTACTTATGTGACTTTTCCTTTGATCTTTTTGGCCATTTTTAGTCACACAAGGCTTAAAAAAAGACACACAAGTAAAAATGGAATGAATAGGATCAAGGAGAATTTATGTTACCCAATGTTCTCCAAGTCACACAAGTACCTCTGGGTTTGTAGGGTAAATCTAAATTCCCCCCCCCCCCCCCATAGTGGTGGGGGGCACAAAAACTTAAGGGTCAGAAGATTTTGCTAGGTAGGGTGTTATCCTAAGCACAACTATTTCTGTTAGGCCTAATAACATGCGCACCAGAGTAGGACCACTTACATTCTGTTAATTTCTGTATGCTAGCTAGATGGCAAGAATCCAAAAGACCAGGCGTATTCAAACTTTCAGTGGTCAGGGGAATGTGGTTTTAAGTCAACCATTTTAACATGGTGCCCACAGTAGCCTCTATAATAATATGTCTGCTTGTATTGAAAATAATACATGAAATTAGGCAGTTGTGGTTCATGTTAACAAGTATTTGAAGAATGTGACTTAAAAAGCTAAGCATAGTAAGAAATAGGAAGAACAAGTAAGTATTTCAAACAATTTATTTAGAAAAGCTATTTAAAGGTTTAACTATTTTTAGCTCTCAGTGCCCCTAAATAGGCCCAATTACATTATTTTGAGTAAACTTGAAAAAAACAAGAGGGCCATGATCAACTTCAACTTGCCCCTCTAGATTTAAGGTTTTAGCGTTAGCAAAATAATAAGAGCAAATATGATACAAGAGGGCCAGGATGACCCTGAAATTGTTCACCTGAATAGAAACTATCCATGACAAGGAACAAGTCATATTGTAAACTATTAACAAAAGCAGATATAAAATATAAATCTTAAACGGATATCACAAAGTTTATATTTGTATTTGAAACAGTGCATGTGTAAAAACATAACTGGTTGCTATTGCTAAGGGGAAAAAACAGTTCCAAAAGATGTGTACATATAAGGAAAATCAATGACCTCATGGGGCGGGCCAATTTTGACCCCAGAGCTTTTATTTGAACAAACTTGGTAGACACTCACTAGAAGATGTTTCAAGCTAAATATCTAAGTCTTAACTATTTGGGATTTTTAAAGGAAGATTTTTTAAGTTTTTTACACTATATATATGAAAAGTAAATAACCGCCTTGGTCGAGGCCAATTATGACCCCAGGGCTTTTATTTGAACAAACTTACACACCCACTAGAAGATGTTTCATGCTTACAATCAAAGCTCTAGCTATTTGGGTGTCTACAAAGAAGTTTTTTTTCTATTTACAAACTAGGCAAATTAGCGCCCTCTGGGGTGATGCCAATTTTGACCCCAGGGTTTTTATTTGGACAAACTTTGAAGACACTAACTAGAAGAAACTCCATGCTTGAACAAACTTGGTAGACACTCACTAGAAGACGTTTCATGTCAAGTATCTAAGCTCTAGATCTTTGGGTTTTTTTAAAAGAAGATTTTCTTGGTTTTTTCCTTCAGTTGCCTTTGGATCAGAGTTCTGCATAGAATTCAATTCTTTGAACAACTTTGGTAGAGCTTCATGCAAGGAACATCCCTGCAAATTTCAACAAATTTAGCGGAGTGGTTTAGGAGGAGAAGTTGTTACATATCACAACACCGCATTTGCACAGTTTTGTCAAGTGCTCAGAGTGACCTCCCTTCCAGAAAATCAAATCGACAAATTTTTTTTTTTTTAAATCATAGATCTCTAAAAAACTTATTAAATTTGAAATCGGGTAGTGTAAAAACTAATTGCTGAAAAAATCAAGAAGTTTAAAACTAACTGCATGAAAAATTATCTGGAGCTTTGGCTGATGATTTGAAAGTTTGCACAGCAGAAGACATGTATGAACATATTAACAATATAAGACAATATGCTTTGTTTCATAGTCAAAATGACATGCTTGATAGTATTATGAGCATAGATCACATTTGTACACAAATTTCTACTAAAAAACAAAAACAAACACATATTGTTGACTTTTTTAAAAAAGGCATGAATGTTATTATGAAACTGTAATACATACATAATATTGTCCGATTTTTTTTTATTATAACTAGAACTGCCACTGTCATGGCGTGAATACCCCCGCATACCACTTTGTCAGTGGCCATTTAGAACTCAAGGACAACCACCCTGCTAAATCTGAGGTTACTAAGCCAGTGCATTGCTAAGATATGTATTCTCCATGCTTCAAATGTGAAAATTTTAAAATCAAGTTTTTTTAGTCAAGGCCCCTGTGACCTTGACCTTTGACCCAGTGACCTCAAAATCAATATGGGTCATCTACTAATCATGACTAACATCCATGCCAAATATGAAGACTGTGGGTCAAAGGAATCTCAAGTTATTGGGCAGACAAGCTTTTATTTTAGTCAAGGTCCCTGTGACCTTGACCTTTGACCCAGTAACCTCAAAATAAATAAGGGTCATCTACTAATCATGACTAACCTCCATGCCAAATATGAAGACTGTGGGCCAAAGGAATCTCAAGTTATTGGGCGGACAAGGAAAAACCGACGGACGGACGGGGAGACTCATAATAATCAAATGTTGGCTCGGACGGACGGCCAGACGTCCAGATGGACGGACAGACAAGCTGATTCCAGTATACCCCCCTTACAACTATGTTATTATATCTATGACTTGTAATATGAGAGACCACTTTATTAAGAGACCACTTTTTGGCAGTCCCTTGAGTGGTTCTGCATACAATGTCGACTGTAGAAGTTATACTCATTAATGAATATTTTTATTTGTTATTTGACTCTGATGTAAGACATTGACCTTTGCGCAACCTTCAGCCTCACTATGGAGAACATTTGTCCAAAGTTATATAACAATCCCGCCACACAAGTAAAAAATACGCTCTGAACATGGGTGTGACACACCACCCAATATGGTGAACATTTGAATCAAACTGTTTTGTTATTCTTTAAAGACTGAGCAAGATATAGATCAGATAAATCTAGACAAATGCACACACTGACATACACCGAACCACCAAAAGCGAATAGTGGCAACTATGTCGACCTCATCACAAGAGGGCTCAACAATTTAGAAGTTCTCTGACCATTAAGCATAATACTTCAAAACATAAGCAAGATACAGTGCCAACAAACAAATTTTAATATTTTCTTTTTTACCTTTGACCTTTTGTGACCTTGATCTTTATTTTGTGCGAGACAAGTCAACTCAACATGGAGAATATTTCCTGAATTTTTCGCACAACACTTCACCTCGTTAAATTAAAATACCTTCATGCATGTGGAAGTTACACTCTGGACACAGTTTTGTGCTGACCCCCAAGTGTGATCTTGACCTTGGAAAGGCAGACCTGGGTTTTGTAGGCGACACTCAATCCTATCATGGTGAACTTTTGTACCAAGGGCCATTTATATTGTTATTTTCTTTTGTTTAATAGAGGGCCATTGGCCCCTTCCTCTATTGTTATAGAATGAACTATATTGTTCTCACAGGTAGATAGCCCCATATCTCTATTCGGTAGTGCGGACATTCTAGGACTCAGGCCCCAGGGCTATTACTTTTACAACCTTGCAGGAGGTTCCCAAGATGCCAAACATCTAAGCTCTAGACCTTGAGGCTTAAAAGAAGGTTTTACAATATGTAATGTAAACACTGGGGAGGGCTAATTTTGACCATCCACCCATTATTTGAACAATCTTGGTAGACAGCTATTAGGTTATGTAACACATGTAAAATATCAAGCCCTAGCCCTTGGGCTTTTAGAAAATAAGATTTTTTACATTTTTAATATATATATATAAGGGCAGCCCATGACCCCTGGCACATGGCCAATTTTTAACACAGGACCGTAAATTTGAATTATCCTTATAAAGATCCATTACATTGATGTTTCATGCCAATTAACTAAGCTCTAGCCAGAGGGGTTTCAGAAATTTTTCTTTTGAAAAATCTTTGACACACTTATGCATCTGGACATTTGAACAGCTTTCAAAGGGATCTGAAAAGGAAATATGTCTGCTTAGTTTGGCTCACATCTAGCCATTGGTTACAGAGATGATGTTTAAAGAACTTGTTGACAATGAACAATAGATGGATGCACAATGACTGACAGAAGGAGATCACAATAACTCACCACATTTTGTTTTCAAATGACCTAAAAATACTTTAATTAAATTGCAAGAGGCTCAAAACATATAGTTTAAGTCTAAAATTCAATAAATTTCGGTATTGAAACTACCTTCATTAAATATCTTCAACTAAAATTTCAATCAATTGTTCATTCTTCTTTTTTTCTATTTAAAGGAAGCTAGTTGACCCTAGCTTGTTGGATGAAGAAACAGAATAGGTTTCTTAAAATAAAATTACTAAAACTTGATTAAAACTGATAGTTATTTTCTATATAATTACCTTGTGGACAAAACTTGCGAGGTTTGATATGCCCCTCCCACCATTTTACTTGCACATTTCTGCCAGAATCATCCTCACTATCCGAGTGTGATATTCGACAAATGAAATAACGGTATTGATGACTGACACAACCATCTAAATATAGAGTCTTTGTCCAGATGTCTCTGTAATAACATAATACATCACAAGAGCCGGTTAAACCGGGTGATGCTCCCCGAATAGGTTTTGGACACATGAAGGTATACCTCTTGTAGTGTCAGAGTTATGTCACAGACAAAGTTCAAAGTGTAAAAACAACCCAAATGTTGCGAATGACACATTGTCTCAATATGGTGATCATTTTTGTGAAATTGTTTTCAAATCCTACTTCAAATAACAAAGTTATGGGCTGAATACGATTAAAATCATTTTGCTGCAAGGTCATGCTGTGACCTTGACCTTCAAGGTAGCGACCTAAAATTTATGTGTGCCACATCGTCTCAATATGGTGATCATTTCTGTGAAAGAGTTTTAAAATCCGACTTCAAATAACGAAGTTATGGACAGGACAGGATTTTGCTGCAAGGTCATGCTGTGACCTTGACCTTCAAGTTGGCAACCCAAATGATGCGCACTACACATCATCTTAATATGGTGATCATTTCTGTGGAATAGTTTTAAAATCCGACTTCAAATAACGAAGTTATGGGCCGGACAGGGATTTGCTGCAAGGTCATGCTGTGACCTTGACCTTCAAAAAAGCGACCCAAATGTTGCGCGCGACACATCGTCTCAATATGGTGATTAATTCTGTGGAATAGTTTAAAATCAGACTCCAAATAATAAAGTTATGGGCCGGACACAATTTTGCTGCAAGGTCATGCTGTGACCTTGACCTTCAAGGTAGCGACCCAAATGTTGCACGCGACACGTCGTCTCAATATGGTGATCATTTCTGTGAAATAGTTTTAAAATCCAACTTCAAACAAGAATGTCAAACGACACATATGCCCCCTTTCTAGCCCTTGACTCACATAATTAGTAATTTTGATACAGAAATTTGCAAGAAATGGGTACATAGAAGTGTTCAATTATTGAAAAAAGAAAAATAATGAAGACTTTGTGATAAATAGTTTTCAAGATAATGAGATATTTAAGGTCCCTGTGACCTAGAACTTTGAACTAGTGACCTAAATCAATAGGGGTCATCTAATAGGTATTATCAATCAATACTACAAATATGAAGACTTTGTGATAAATAGTTTTCAAGATAATAAGCGGAAACCAAACTGACATTCAAGAACCCTGTGAACTTTACCTTTGACCTGCTCACCCCAAAATCAATAGGTTCACTTACTTGTGATAAAAAATCTTCAAGATAATATGCGGAAACCATTCTGACACTTAAGACCCCTGTGACCTTGACCTTTGATCTAGTGACCCCAAAAGCAATACAGATCATCTGTTGGTTATGACCAATCACTTTGTGAAATATGAAGACTTTGTGATTATTATCTATCAAGATAATGAGCTGAAACCATTCTACCATTCAAAGACCCTGTGACCTTTGTGATCTTGACCTTTGACCTAGTGACCCCAAAATCAATAGGGGTCATCTACTAGTTATGACCAATCAATATGTGAAATATGTAGACTTTGTGATAAATAGTAACCAACATAATAAGCGGAAATCATATTACCATTCAAGGTTTCTGTGACCTTGACCTTTAACCTAATGACCCCAAAATCAATAATGGTCATCTACCACTTATGAACAATCAATATGTGAAATATTAAGACTTTGTGATTTATACTTTTCAAGATAATCAGCGGAAACCATTCTGACATTTAAGGCCTCTGTGACCTTGATCTTTGACCTAGTGATCCCAAAATCAATATGGGTTATTTACTAGTAATGACCAATAACTATATGAAGACTTTGTGATGAATACTTTTCAAGATAATCAGATGATTTGACATTTTAAGCCCCTGTGACCTTGACCTTTGACCTAGTGACCCCAAAACCATTAGGGGTCATCTATTAGTTATGGCCAATCACTATATGAAATATGACAACTTTGTGATGAATACTTTTCAAGATAATCAGCAGAAACCATTCTGACATTTAAGGCCCCTGTGACTTTGACCTTTGATCTAGTGACCCAAAAATCAATAGGGATTATCTATTAGTTATGGCCAATCACTATATGAAATATAAAGACTTTGTGATGAATAATCTTCAAGATAATCGACATAAACCATTTTGACATTTAAGGCCCCTGTGACTTTGACCTTTGATCTAGTGACCCAAAAATCAATAGGGATTATCTACTAGTTATGACCAATCACTATGTGAAATATGTAGACCTTGTGATGAATACTTTTCAAGATAATCAGCGGAAACCATTTTGACATTTAAGGCCCCTGTGACCTTGACCTTTGACCTAATGACACCAAAGTCAAAAGGGGTCATCGACTAGTTATGACCAATCACTATGTGAAATATGAAGACTTTGTGATGAATACTTCTCAAGATAATCAGCGGAAACCATTTTGACATTTAAGGCCCCTGTGACCTTGACCTTTGACCTAGTGACCCCAAAATCAAAAGGGGTTATCTACTAGTTATGACCAATCACTATGTGAAATATGACAACTTTGTGATGAATACTTTTCAAGATAATCAGCAGAAACCATTTTGACATTTAAGGCCCCTGAGACCTTGACCTTTGACCTAGTGACCCCAAAATCAATAGGGGTCATCAACTAGTTATGACAGATCACTATGTAAAATATGAAGACTTTGTGATAAATACTTTACAAGATAATCAGCGGAAACCATTTTGGCATTCAAAGCCCCTTTTGACTTTGACCTTTGTCCTTGTGACCCCAAAATCAATAGGGGTCATCTACTAGTTATGACCAATCACTATGTGAAATATGAAGACTTTGTGATGAATACTTTTCAAGATAATCAGCGGAAACCATTTTGACATTTAAAGCCCCTGTGACTTTGACCTTTGTCCTAGTGACCCCAAAATCAATAGGGGTCATCTACTAGTTATGACCAATCACTATGTGAAATATGAAGACTTTGTGATAAATGCTTTTCAAGATAATCAGCGGAAACCATGTGGTCTACCGACGGACAGACCGACAGACAGACAGACCGACATTAGCAAAACAATATACCCCTTCTTCTGCGAAGGGGGGCATAATAATGAAGTTATGGACGGACACAATTTTGCTGCAAGGTCATGCTGTGACCTTGACCTTAAAGGTAGCGACCCAAATGTTGAGCGCGACACGTCGTCACATCGTGAAATAGTTTTAAAATCAGACTTCAAATAACAAAGTTATGGGCCAGACAAGAATTCGGGACGTACGGACGGACTGACGGACATTCCGACGGAAGGACGGACGGACAACCCGACGACCATATGCTCCCCGAAAATTTTTCGGGGAGCTTAATAAAACAAAATCACTCACCATCATGAGTTTATAGGAAGATTTTCAAAGTATGTAGGGATTAACACAACCTTATCTTCAATGTAGTCACCTAAGAATTATTTCCATTTTAGGTACTTTCCGACCAAAATATGACAGCATCTCAGATCTTGATGACCTTTAGTAAGCAAACATGTAGATATGTAAGCTTTTTTTCCTCAGCATTATTTTGTTTTTAAAATATACAGTGTTAATATGATGTCAAAGCGCCTCCTATTGGCAGTGGCGAAATTGCATCTTTTTAACAATAACTGACTAACCTGATTTTATCAATTTTCATTCAACTTCAACAGTTCAAATCTTTTAATGTTAAGTAGGTGTACGTCTTTTTTAATACTGTCCTTCTTAAATGTTTGCTTAATATCCTGCAATTCTATGGTTAATTTCTCTCTTTTCGGATTTCCATATCTGTTCAAAATATTGTGCAATATGGCAAGAAAAATTTTAAAACAAGAACGTGTTTGTTAAACACAAATGTCACCCTGGCTCAGATTCTTGTCAGTAACAATATTTCAAAACATGTTTATCCATTCACTCAGTTTAGGACACAAAATTGCCAAAAACATTTTAAACACAGTTATATAACTTGACAGTTTTGTGAAATAGTTTTGTAATTGGGAAAAATATAAGTTGCCAATGCTATGACATGTGATGAAGTTGAAAAATATTCAACTTTATCAAATACTAGTATCTTTACATGTATATGCAAGACTTTACCTTGAACCAAGCAACCCCAAACTCCATCCAACCTTAAGTATATTCCTTGTGAGACATTGGTAAAACATAGGGATGTCATTTGGAGTTGATATCCAAATCAGACATCCGGATACATCCGGATGTTCGGATCGTTGTTATATTCTTAGTTGGCTGATATGATTTACCATTTTTCGCGACCTTTTTCAAAGTGTAGTAAACAGTTTTATACTTCCTTTTTAATTGATCAAAAATTTTTCATTATTGATTTTATTTTTTTCTATATAAAATATGACTATTATCCATATATTTTGTGCGTATTGTACTAAGTACTTACGATTTCAAATGAAATGACAATGAAATTCAATGCCGATTGTCTCAATTCCTCAATTTGTGCTATAATACACAAAAACACTCCCTCACATTTGTGAAAACAAAAAAAAAACACCCGTAAAAAATAAATATAATGTTTTCATTGTTCAATAACACGCATACAATTTACACACCATGACTTTTGACAGGTGTGTAGTCGGCTTTTCAAAATATATGTCATTCTTTGATGTTTACCAACATGTAACCCTGGCTGTTTGATTTGAATCATCAAAGAAGTTGCCGAAACTTATATGAATTACACACATTTAAAGTGTTCATAAGTAGACAAAAATGTGAAAAAAATGTTTTTTAAACAAATGCACACATTTGATTACTACAAAAGGAGAAAGTTATTTTGTCGGATAATTATCCTATCAATTTCAATAAAAGCTTTGATAATTAACATATTATTATTTGTAAGTGCATTTCTTGATTTGATTATTTTATTTCTGCAGATTTTACATTTTTTCAAATTAAGGAGTCAACGGGTCGGTATGCCGAAATATATTTAAAAAATAATAGCCTACGTAAATATTTAAATTTGGAGATAACAAATGTAACATCGTTGCCGATAACTATCGCACGGGACTAAGAATATTCATCTGGAATCCTA